GACAGGGGAGGCTAAACCAGGCTATGAGCATCATCCCTGCCATGACATTTCTTTTCTCAGAGTACTTCCAAAATCGACTGCATTGAGATAATTTCTCTTTCTATGACTCGAAATGCAGCGTGCAGCTGTGGAGCAGCCGCTGGGACTGTCATGCTGTCACGGGAGCCAGAAGACCCAGCTCACAGCCTGGGAGCTTACAGGGATTTGGGGCTTGAAGCTGTACAACATTTGCTCTGTACATATAGGCCTGTACCAAAGGAGCTCAGGAAAAAAAAAAAAAAATCATCTCCTGGAAACTAACCAGAGCTTTTCTCTCTGAGGGAAACAAATGAGGCCTTAATTAATTTTCTTTCAAATACAGCAAATTGACTTCTGCTCCAGTTGTGCTAGATTCAAGCCACACAGCACAATGGTATTAATTCCACTTCACTTAAGGGCTAAATGTTCAGAGCAAGGAAAAGGGAGTTTCCTGTAGGTCTTGGTCATGTTGAAGTCAACAACTAAAGCACCCTGGTTTTCACCAGAGCGGCTTCTTCTGAGCCTGCATTTCTGAGGTTGACGGCGGCATGCCTCTGGGTTAGCGCAGCAAAAAACAGGATACATTGAAGGCACTGGCTGAGCAGGTTGCCCGGTCCCTTGTGTATTTTTGAAGATCTGCCACATCCTGCCTCAAATTTCATTTTACAGGCTCAAAGATCAAAGCTCTTTTAGTGTCCTGTCCTAAGGCTAGCTTACTGGTTTGCTGATCATCCTAAGTAGCTCCGCTGTCTCAAACTTCATTTAATCTCTCTTGACACCAAAGTCCTGCCTGCAGGATTTCCTAACACCGGAATAACAAGCAGCATTCAGGACAGGGTCTCTTCGGTACCTCACAAACCAGTGGTGCGCTCCCTCATCTCTACCAGAGACACTTTACCCCAGTAAACTGGAAGATCACATTTGCCTTCTTGGCATTTGCTTCATATGGGGGGCTCAGAGCCCCCCTGCAAGTGGCACCCACCCCTTGTGCAAGAGAGGTGCGCCCAGATCCCAGTGGAATGATTCACCTGGGCCCAGCGCCACTGTACAGCAGCCATCCTGCATGGGTATCTCACCATGGTATCCTACAGTGCCGTGGACCTGTACCAGCTTGTCCAGCGCCACCTCATGAATCCCATCCCTACACTGTGCTAAAAAGCCAGGGAAAAAAAGGTACATCAAAACCCAAATTACCGAGTCCAGTGAAACTGTTGGTATAAGCAGAGAAACTGCAGAATCTGACTTATATACACATATATATGAAACACCAATTCTACAAAACTGTTATGGGAAAATATCCATCCTATTCCCTTTAGTATCTGTTCAATGGTACAAGCTGTATCATTGCCTATGTGCTACAATAAAGAGGTAGAGGGGATCCCATTTTGCTTGTCTGAGGGATTACGTTTCAAAAAGGCTGAAGGACAAGATGTCCCTCGCTGTAAAATCCTGTGCTTAATTTAAATTATCTTCCAACCATCTTAAGATCCTCCCGCTGCCAAATTTATCTAATATATTTAATATATGGCTTCATTATCACATTGGCTATGCACTGCTGAGGGAAGGTGCTATTATTCCTCTTCACAGATGGAAGAGGGAGGCCCAGATCGCCAAAGGTACCCAGTTATAGCATTTATTTAGTTAAAAAAGTGACAAAGCAAAGAACCTGTTCCTGTCCAACACCCACTGTCCTCAAGCACTCTGTTTTTCCAACAAGACCTTTGTTTTCCAGGTTCTCCTGTGAAAAGCAGCCTGATTGACTCTTGCTTCTCCTTTCATTATCAACTTTGAAATTTACATTAAAAAAGTCAGGCATGTCTTGACTTATTCTTCTTCAAAACAAAGGGTAGCTGTAAAAATCTTTCTAGGTTTTTGTTACGGGACATTTGTTAACTCTCGGATTCCCATCTATTTCTTCCACATGATGTTGCACTGTTTGGCTACATATAGTGACTCTGTACACCTCAAGGAAGCAGTAAATGTTCATTTTCTTTCCTTTCTACAAAAACTCAGCCCTTTTCAAGTTGCAAAGCTGCATATTAAAACTACTGTCTGCTGACTTCCATATTTTCTGAGGCAACATCTGGCATAAAAACTGATTGCAAATATGATCAGAATTAGGAAGATTTCCTTCCAGCAGTCTTCCAGCTGGCTTTATTCCCAGATATCAGCACAATGCAAAATAAAAATCTATTTGGGATCGTCTCCACTTGCAGTGTCTCACTCTTCAGGTAGAACAGTTTCCCTTCCCGGGGAGGTTTTGATGGGATCTGAACTGCACTGGAACTGGTAAGGCCTCCACAGTTCAGGATGGATGCTCTCTGATGCCTAAGGAATGAGGAATCCCCACTCTTGCAGTAGATAATAACAGAGTTTATTCCCTCCAAAATCTAAACATGCAGATATAGATATAATTTTGAGGAATTTAAATGTAATCCTATCATTATGAGTAGTAGGCTTCAGCTGCAGACATTCGCCTGTAATTAAGCAGAATTATTCATAAGGGTATTGGCTGTAGTCAAAGCAGACTTGGTAGCTCAGGTTATTGTTAAACGGTGTTAAAACAGCAGCGGCAGCTCAGCTCTGGGCGACCGCCTTACTGGGCCTATTGTGAGTGCGTGAAGCGACCCTGCCTGCGTGTGATTGCTCTGCCCCCACAAGCATGACATTTATCTTTCAGTTCTCCTGGGTTTGGGAGGTGGGCATCATGGGCTTAACACTTCTTTGCCTTTCTCCTCAGGCCGTAATGCACATCCACGCAGGCTGAGTGCAAAGCCCCCATATACCTCTTTTACACTCCATAATCACAGAATCATAGAATTGCTGAGGTTGGAAGGGACCTTTAAGATCATCAAGTCCAACCATTAACCCAACCTGACAAAACCACTTCTAAACCATGTCCCCCAGTACGTCTACTCTTTTTTTTAAAACACCTCCAGGGATGGCGAATCCACCACCTCCCTGGGCAGCCTATTCCAATGTTTAATAACCCTTTCAGTGAAAAAATGTTTCCTAATATCCAATCTAAACCTCGCCTGGCATAACTTGAGCCATTTTCCTTTTGTCACTAGGGAGAAGATGTCAGCCCCTACCTCTCTACAACCAGCTAACAAGATGAGGAAGGGTCCAGCTCCCAGCTCCCGACCCCTCTCTGCGCTCCCCGCTGCGCTTCACTCCCAGATGAGAGCAGAAGCAAATAGCAAATCCCTTCCTTCTGTCTACAAGCTCCTTGGCACAGCACCACCAGGCAAGACAAAGTACAACTGAGAAATGAAAAAGTAGCTCATATTTAGACCGGAACATTGAATACTATACCCTGGAAAATTATGTTTTGGTATGACTTCTGATAGGGTAAGGAGGAGTGATGCGAGATTTTTGCAGTTCTCCTAAAAATACCTAGAATCCATGCCATGGTAAAGGAAGAAATCATACAGAAAGAGAAAGCAACTGTTACTATTCAGCTAATAAACACCTCACATTACTTAAAACTAAAAGAATTCAAAACCTCCAGTCTTAGACTAACAGTTTTTTCCGTTTGATTACACTTTGCATTTTACTTCCCCTGAAGAACGTCACCAGCAATGTCATATTTCCCACTGTTCTTCAATAGCTTCACGTCGTGATTTCCAGGCTGTGCCAGAATAAATAGCTCAGCTTGGAAACTGAAGCGGCATGCAAGACTGATCATTTGCTCAAAACAAACAGTTCTCAAGTAAACGAATGGAACATAATTGCATTTCAGCTTCAGCTTGAAAATGTAACAAGCATTAGCATGTAATCTTCCTGTTGAGTTTACACTCAATGGCACCTGCTTATTAGAGACGATTCTGGGTCACTGCACTATTTGTATATGGATAGTAGCTGATGGAGATGTAGTTTTTCGTCCTGCAAAGATCATTCTAACGGTGTGCTCTGACTTCTCATATAACAAAGACTTCTTCATACTAATTTCCGAGTGATTTGTCTATTTGTTTACCTCATCTTAAGTTTGCTCTGTGACCCTGGGGCTAAATCTGTCCTCCATGATTCACCACGTGCAAGGGCTCCATAACTCTCTCATGACCCATGAGCTCTCCATAAGCAGGCAAGCCTGACCAGGAGAACTGAGCACATGAGTTTCAGCAGCCACGTCTCCGATTTGGGTTGAGCCAAAATGTGCCAGTATTCTAATTTCTCCAGAAATAACCACTGTCAACAGAATATCCCCAAAATAACCACTGACAACAGAATATCCCCAAAAGCAAATAAAATCTACTCTCACATCTATACTTGTTTCCATGGAAATATGTAGTCACAAGGTTTTTTCCCCTCATTTTCAAAATTTTCTCTGCCAGCCCTGGTAAGTCCATAGGTTTACCCAAATACAAAGACTACTGCAGATGTGCCAAACTTGCACAAAGCCAAGTAGAGAGCCGTTCAGTGTGTCCCCAAGAGAGCACCCGTGCAGCAACACCGCTGCCAGTCCTGAATAAAGAGAGCACCAACTGTCTGCAGATCCTTTCAGCCAGAGGCTGACAAAACCTTTTTGTTCTGAGGACCAAGCGCTTTTGATGAGATACCAAACAGCACACACCATAGTGTCACCCAGCAAGATGAACACTAATAACAACCCACTGTCAGCACAGTTCACGTGCTGGCCTTAGACTCTGGCTTTAAATCAGAGTGAAGGATGTAGCATTTGCAGTGCAAGTCTGTCCCCAGTGGCTGCCGAACATTTTGCTTCTGGCAGAAGCCCTCTGCATTGTCCCCCACCATATGTCGCCATCTCCAGCTCCCTCCTCACGCCCCGTCTCTTCTCTGCTTCCCTGCTCCGCGCGTCTGCCCCAGCCAGAAGCTCCATTTCCCCAGAGACTCGCACAAAGTGGCTGAGGCACAGGCACAGATGACAACATTAAGCAGACCCTCTGGGCTGTGAGCGGTGGGGGACGGTGCTTTGGCTTTGGCAGTCACTTTGAAGTCACTGAGGGTGCTGCTGCGCACTCATGGCACTGGATCAGCCTGGCAGGGGGCTGCAGAACAACCCCTACGACCCAGGAGAGGAGGGAGGCTTTGCCTGTGTCTCCCCACCAGGCAGTTTGTGGCAGCAGAAGGAGGAAAGCAAAGGCCCACCCTGCTGCCCACGGAGGAAGGGAAAGGCAGCCCGTGCCGGGGCTGCGGGCAGAGCAGAAGCAGGGAGTGACAAAAGCAAAAGGCAAAGCACAGGAATGGAGGGAAGGAGCCAACACCAAAATCTCCCAGAGGACTTTGGCTTTATTCAGGTTGTTACACTGACATCGTGACATGCTGGGTTTCACCCCTTGGCTACCAGGCACGTAAAGTCTCACGGGACTTTATGTTCAGCATTAGGGCTGAAAAATAAGTCAGGTGGAGGGGCTGCAGGGCTGTACACAAAGGATCATGGCACGTGGCAAGGGGCTGTTTACAGGGGAGGTACCGAGGGTATCATGGGGATGGGGATCAGCAAGACTTTAGACTCAGTGCCTCATTAAAGTTTTAAACTCGTTCTTAAACCATCCGGCTGACAGAGGGAGGCTGTGCTGGAGAGGCTCTGGTGTGTCTGGGAGGGGTGCAGGAGCTGGGAGGGAACACGCTCGGGAAAACGCTGGGTTCTTGTGCTCCATCGTCAGCTAGAAAGAGAAGGACCCTGTGCCTGGGAGATACCAGCAGCCTGGAGCCAAAACTGCCTCAGAGGGCTCCTTGCTCTCCTCTCCCCAAGCCTGCCACCTTCCCTTTATCCCCTGCGGTCAGGAAGGAGCAGGAACATTCTGGTGCAAAACCAGGAGGGAGTAGGCTGAGAGCTGGAGTAACTACACAATAGCTAGGTCAGGGTCCTCTCAACAACGCTGTAAACAGAGCCTGAGAAAGAGAGAGTAGAAATTGCAAACTAGATGGAGACAGGATCCAACCTGGAAAACAAAAGCTATTTAGCAAGGAGGAAGTAATTCACCAACTAACATTCCCCATGGCAGAGGGGGGAACACTTCTGGAAAGTCAAACTGTGTTGAGTAAACCTTAGGAGAGCTAGCAAGTTAGAGAAAGGGACATGAGGAGAGGCAAGAGAGAAGGAAAGCAATGCACCAGCACCAGGGCTGTGCACACAGCTACCCTGTGCCAGGCAGCACGGAGGTAAGTGCTGGGCAGGAGCCCACTGCGCAGCTCTGGGCAGCAGCTACTGGGAGAGCCTGAGGCACTGGGAGGAGGTCAGAAGAAAGGCAATAGCTCGTTGTGCAACTACAAGGGGTTGATTTGCAATGAGGGTATGTTTTCCTTGGCTCTGAGGGCATATGGAAACAGTTTACAAACATTTGTAAGGCATAAACCCAAGCAGGAAGGAGGGCAAATTACTTACTAGAGGAGACAAAACAAAGGGAGGAAAAAACAAAGTTAAAAGTAACTGATAACGGTTTACCAATGAGCTCTAGTGGGTTGTGAAATAGCTCTCACAAGGAGAGCAGGGAAAAACCCAGGTACAAGCAGTTTTAAAGTTGGATGGGAAGAAAGTAATTAATACATGCTCAATGAAGAGCATACAGAAGAATTTGTTAATGATACAAGTATTTCCACCCCCACAATCTGCAGTCCCAATTTTCCACTGCCCTACATCTCTTGCTGTCATTAACAGCAATGCAAAGAAGGAAAACATTTATTAAAGCAGGAGCGTAACCTTATAGTTCTGCTTCGCCTGAGTGCCTAGATTTCTAGACACTTCCAGCCAACAGAGAATTAGGTTTTACACTTGTGTGTGGGAAAATGACTCACTAGCAGCGATCCTTTTCAACTCCTCCAGAGATCTCCTCCTGCCCCATCCCAAATCTCCCTTAGTCTTGATGAGGTAGGGGTATGACTCCATGTCTGGATAGTGTGTGTTAATGTCTCCTAAAGTCATATCCAGCCACTTCTAAAATTTCCCAATAAATCCCCTTCCAATTGCATTGGGAGCCCACTTACAGGACTCCTAAAGATCCAGGAGGAAACCTGAAAGATCAAGGCCAAAATACAGCCCCACTGAAGGCTGAAACAGCAACGTGCCAAAAGCCCCGAGAAGCCCACACCTTACCTGGCATATACACTTACTGGCTTAATATTTTCCACGAGGAGGGAACACAGCCATGGCTTAACAGCTACAGTGCTGCAGCTAGTATTAGTGGTTAGTCCCATCAGCCAGTGAGCTGGGTTCTTCAGACAGCAGAGAGCTGTTCCCTGGCCTGAGCATTTTTCACATCACTAATTACCAAGCTTTATAACCGTCCCCTGCAGACTAAGATGATGATGAATGAATGAGATCAGATTAGTGAATATGGTTTATTGGTGGAGTTTGCCCACTCACTGTGGATGCATCATTACTGTGTGCATTCATCAGCACCGGGATGAGCATGATTCAAAGTCTTTCCCTGTACAACAGGAAACCACAACCAACCTGCAGCTCTTCAGCTTTCTCCCAAGGACTTCCTACACCTTCCTTCGGTCCTTCTGTTGCTCTGTATCCTTGTCCTGGGCCATCCTGGAGGTCCTTTGCTGAGTGCCGTATGCTTCCTTATCAAAGCAAAGCAGATTAAGCTGAGCCTGTAGAGGTTAAACCAGAAATTGCTGAGAAGCACCGAAGTTGTAACACAGTGGCTAATGGTGCGTTTGCTACAAAATCAGAGTTGCTCCACTATGTGGCACAGAGGCTCTGCAGCTCCACAACCAGCATCAATCCCCTTTTTGCTGAACGGTATTTCTAGAGCAGGGCATTCCTCAACCCCACTGTGGCTGTTGAGCCCAGGAAACGGGGGATCCATCACAGTAACTGCAACCAGCCCATTCAAAGTGAGTACCTGTGAAAGTGTACTGTATTGCCTACAGCATTGCTCTAGTTCCCTCTTTTTCAGTCCTGACACATCCCTGCAACAAGCAATAGCTTGCATTAGCACTAAAGGGAATAGGGTTTCATGGCTAGAAACTGCTTTGCACTGAAACTTGAGAGCTGCGCCCTTCCTTTCCATCTCTGGCACGAATTCCCCAGGTGGCCCAAGGCAGGCGCCTTCATCTCCCTGTGGCTCCATTTGCCATCTGTAAAATTGGGTTAGCATCCCCTCCTCCTTCTTACACCCCCTTTATCCTTGCTTATATTAACTGTAAATATAAATGGGCTTGTTCGTGTGCAGGCACAGTGTAAAATAGGGACCACGACCCTGGAGGAGAAGGTCTGCTGGGAAGGATGCGTGCCGGGAGGGACAAGTGCATGGAGGGATGGGTACGCGGAGGGGCAGGTGTGCGGAAGGACGCCGGGATGGAGGGATGCGGACGCCGGGATGGAGGGATGCGCGCAACGGGGTGGAGGGATGGCGCACATCAGGATGTAGGGATGGCGCACACCGGGATGGAGGGATGGCGCAA